TTTTCAGAAAATAAAACACCACTAAACTCTAAATTAGAAAAAATAGGTTTTAATAAAAAATATTTGATTTTAAAGATTAATCAAAATTATTCGATCTTTAATATACACTGTTATCTCATATAAACTGAATATAAATACAATCTCTAAAATAAAGTTTTATTTATTACTCTTTCTATTTTACAGTTTCTTTTATATATATTTTATATAACCTTATATAAAATATATATAAATACACAATGTATCGCTCATTTACCATACAGCAACATAATTTAAAAACATTTAACAGATTAAAGGACTCTTCCTATACAAAATAAATAGTCCATGGTGATCCATATCAACGAACGTACATAATAATCGATACACAATGTCCGTCTTACACATCTGTGTTCCACTTGTCTTTATATATTCTTATGGTTTTTTTTAATATCTATATGGACACACTTGTTTGAATAATTTACATATGATTTTTTAACCTTTCCAAGAGATATAAAACACATTTGACTGTTCAATCATACGTCGAGTTCTACATCAAGACTCACCCAAACTGTGAATATAATGAATATGCGAACATTTGCGATAATTAATTTTGTACTGCGATTTTTTCGATAAGTTAATGTCTGAAGAGGGCTCAATCCGGTAGCCGAAACTTGTAATTTATTTGTATTTAAACTGAATTATTTTTATTATATATTTTCTTTAATTTTACTTTTCTCTATTTGTAATTTATTCTTTTGTGTGACTTTTTTAAAGAAATGTGTTGACTCTTTGCCCTTTATTTATTGTTATTTATTTTATAACTTAAAAAAACAGAGTTTCAGAAAATAGATATTTTAAATCATTAAAATTTTATAATTTTAATTTTGAAATTTTTATGTCACGATTAATTGTAGAGAAATAAAAGCGTGTACTTATATAAAATGTTTTTCTATTTTTTCTTAATATTCTTATTCTTTTTTTTTGTAAGCAAAAAACTAAAATAATGACAATCTTTGAATTCTGTTTATTGTTGTACCAAATGAATGATATGTATTTCCTATAAAATACATATCAAAAGTAACACTATTGACTTAAAATACCAAGATAAAATAAAGTTACATTTATACATGTACCTATGAAACTGTAATTATATAACTCAAATAATCATAATCTATTGTGTAAACAATATTACATAGCAGTAAAAAAAAATAAATAAAATGATCTTAGCTAATTTTATAAATAAGAATTGAAGACTAAAATTTTCATAAAGCGTTTTCTATCTGCAATTAATTTTTCCAATTTCCGGAATATGTCAATTTTTTTACTCAAATATAACGTTTTAATCTATCAATCTCATGTAAATTACGAAAAAGTCTTAAAAGCTGCATTAACGCAATGTGTCCGGCGAGACCAATCCTTTCCTCGAAAGTAGCAAGAGCCACATACATGCGACGTAACGTATTTCACACTCGAAACAGTGCTTCGCACATCGCGCTTCTTATCGAAGGAATCATAGAAAGTAAGCTATTTATCTTGAGCGTGTTTTTTACCTTCGAAAAATGCAAATTCGGGTCACTTCTCATGAGCGGGAAGATGAGAGCAGGCGGACAAATTAATGAGAGTGTGCTAGAAACGGAAGAAATTATAAATTTCGGGGAGAACGACGATGACGTTATACGCGAGCCACATCTTCTAGTGGCCCGGAGTGACAGATGCTGGCTGCGTACGCGTCGTCGTCCGTGAGTCCGGCCGCGACAAAGATCCCGTGACCGGCCCGGACCGGGTATCCGTGCGCGTGTATCGAAAACGCTATTGCGCTTATAATTCACATACCCTATTCAGTAGAATCTCAATATTTTCCGTTCAGCACCATCTCTTACGAATCGTCTCAGTATACAATCAACCGCAAGCATCCCACTATGACACACAGATGGAGCTATTCACGTTCGATCGGAATAAAGTCACTAGATTTCTAAAGTATCGTATGGTATCGCAATTGATTTCAGATATGTCGCGTTAAAATAGCCGAAGTGCGTGTAGTGCACGATTTCAAGCATTGTGATTGGTGGTTTGTCTTTTAAACTGTACTTACTTATCCCTTCGTGCACTTTCATGCATTAAACTTCTATAACAAATAAGTCTGTATTAAACTAAATAATACATAAATTAAGAATTTATATATATTTAACAAATAGAAGGACTCTTCCTATACAAAATAAATAATAATAAATAAAGGGCAAAGTAAGAGTCAAACACATTTTTTAAAATTGTCATACAATTAAAAAGAATAAATTACAAATAAAGAAAAGTAAAATTGAAAAAAATAATAATAAACTCAGTTTAAATTCAATAATTACAAGTTTCGGCTTGAACTCGGATTGAATTCTCTTCAGATATTAATTTATCATAACAAAATTAATTATCGAAAATGCTCGCATATTCACTATAATCACAGCTCGGGTGAGTCTTGATGTAGAATTCGACATTATTCACATACAATTGAACAGTCAAATATGTTTCATATCTCTTGGAAAAAGTTCTAGTTGATAAAAAAGATAAAAAGACTTCTTACGAAAAAATAAACACAATCAAATTAACATACCGGAATTTATATATATTTTTTTTTATCATAAATAAACTAATTACAATTAAAAAACATTTATTTACGTACATGATAGCTTTTATCTATTTTCCAAAATAAAGTACGTATATACAGAATAATATAATATAGTAATAGCATAAATTTGAAATGGCCGCGTTTCGTGTCAAAATGGATGCTGCGAGTTTGCGATGCTTTAGAAATCTAGTGACTTTATCGGGGGATAGCTCAGCGATGGAAAGACCGCTTCGAGATAACGGATGCACGATTATATGTACGTCGAGTCCTCGACGTCACATCCGGTATAGCGTTTTTCCGGTTCAGCGCTTTTCCATGTCCACTTTCTCATAATTTTATACATATATATCTCAATAAATTTATAATAATTATTATTATACATAATACTTGAATTAAAAGAAAAAATACTAAAGAAAAGATCAAATTTAAAATTTATTTACGTTGTATTTTTTGCATTCAGAATCTTCACTTTTTTTTATTGGTATATTTGGTACTACAAATTGCATCTGATTAGTATATTTCGTTAGACCTACAAATGTAGACCAAACAGGTACAAAAGTTCATTAAACACTCAGTAAACGAGAATGGATTAAAATGGATTGAAATTTTTTTCTATCCAAATGCGTTTTCCAAATTTTAAATAGCAAATACTTTTTTTTTTATTTAATTGGATTCAATTAGATGCAATTGGATTGAAAAACTAAATTTCATATTCAAAATTTTGAATTGAACGATATTCACAATGCACAGCAGAAGCTAATATTATTTTTAGATTGAAAGACATAGAGATATGCTCTATGCTATTTCTATAAATGAATTCTATAAATGAATAAAAATGTATTCAGGATTGAAAAGCATTCATTTTAACATTTGTGAATCAATATTTCTGAAAATCTGAATCCATTTTAATTCATATTAATCCATTCTCGTTTGCTGAGCACTCAATAGGCGATTGTAGTACCGAA